TAGACTGTAACATCTGTATTTCTTGTCTATATTTACAATAACATTTATAAATACTAAAACTGTTTCCAAATCACTGCACTGGAATGGTACCAAACCTATTCTGAGAGATGATATAAGAAAAGAAATATTTTCAGTGTATTTCCTGCCTAGCAGGAGGAACACAATGAATATCCTAGCAGTCTGTGCTCCTATCATATTGCTCAGAAGAACAATACAGTAAATCAAAAACCAAAACAGTTCCACTTGAACTACTGAGGCAATTCAATTGGTATGAAGAAAGCTCAGAACTCCTGGCCTTGGAGAACACTAAAACAACTAATGCTACAACACTGTTCATTCAGCATACCTTTAATACAGCTAAACAGGGAAAGTGGCCAAACATCTCCCAGAAGACAGCTACACATTTTATGCCTTACATCCTACATTTATCTTATCTTCCTTTGCACAAGTACAGACTTAAGAGATAAACAAAAAAGGTGTAATTACACTGAAAGAGAACGAATGAGAAAGAAAAGTCTAACACGTTATAAGCAAAAAACTGACCATTTGAATGCAACGAATACACTACTTAGCTCAGAAAGCATACCAGTATGCAAGTAAATGTGTTACCAAATATTTATCAACTTCATCATCTACTGTATCAAGCGAAGAGAACATGACTACTCACAGTAAAATTAATTTCTACCTGAAAAGAGTGCTACCACAGCTTGCAGATAAGCAGTGAACTATCTCAGAGGCAGCAGCACCCAGCTCACTGGGAGACATTAACTTCAAACTGGCTTCATATGATTCAAACGTAGCAAGGTAAAGCCTGACACTACAAAACCACTTCAATTCAAAATACAATAATCTATTTCCAGTTTAGCAACGTGTCTGAATGCATTTTGTGTATTTCGAGATCCTTTCAGTTATTACTAGTAAAAGCACCAGGTTCAAAAGTAAGCTTAGAGACACTGCCCTATGGGCACATGCATACAGCAAAGGGGAGAGTCGGAACATGCTGTAAACATCTGAAAAACCAAGGATAAACCATGTGACCCAAAATCACAAGGTGCAAACAACATGTTTTTAACTTTTTTTTAAAAACTGAGTATTTTGTGAACACTTTTAAAAAAATGTTTGATAGCATAGATCTATCAGCTCTTCCTTTGGCTCTCGCACCTTTAAAACTCGGATGTGTTTTTATCCCTAAAACACTGCATTATTTAAAGTGAAATTACATAAAATCTACTGCTCAACTACAGTCTGACTGTCCCACAAAAGCCGTATTTTGTATTTTTTCACTTTCAAGAAGATTTTCGTTTTTCATAACCTTTTTATCTTTTAAACTGGAAGTTGTCACAAAAGCAACTCTGAATAATTAAGGTCAGCTAGGTAAACTTCAAGTTAGATAAACATACCATGCAATAGAAAGTGTATAGCTATTCCAACAAAATAAGTTTGAACAAATATTTCTACTGGATCTATACCCAAACAGAGTTAATAATGCATGTCTCTGTATTCAATGTATTCAAAATATTTATATGCATATGTATTGTATCTTAAATATTATATCTATCTACTTATTGTGCATTTACTTTATCATTAAGAGGAATTTTTATTTTGTCTTTTTTATTATTTCCCTTTCCCTCCTATTTTTTTAAGAAATTGGGACACAAAATTTAGGATCAGCATGTGTGAGCAGACAGATTTCATCTATTCTACTCTACCACAATATTAAAATAACACCAGAGAAAACTGGCAAAATGGCAATTCCCCTCCGTGTGAACTACAGCAAGGGTAGCAAGGAGGGAAACGCTTTAAAAAAGCAACTACGTGCCACGTTTAGTAACTGTACTTACAGATAATACGGTCACCTAATTGTGTCATTAAGAAATATTTTCTTCTCGGGGAAGTTTCATCCAAACTTCCTAAGGTCTCAGAAGAACCGGCCGCCTCTCCCCCCCTGCGAGTGGCATCCAGAGAAAGCTCCTGCTGCCAGAGCCGGGCCTCCCGCACCTTCCGATTACAACCTGAAAAAGCACGAGAAACTCCGAGGTCTGGACGCGCACAACGAAGCAACTCTCGACTAAAACCAAACAACGCTTTCATAACCAACTACCCCTCACAACAACCGACAAGTGACTTCCCCTCGCCACGAAGGTTTATCTACCTCTCCAGAGCGCGACTTCTAGTTAAAAAAAAACAAACAAAAAACACAAAATAAAAGATACTTTCGGAAAACCTTCGCAGCCAGGAGATGAGGTTTATCCCTCCATGCCCCCCCGCCCGGCCCGCAGTGCCCCC